TATGGTAGATTATCAGCCTAAATGAAAAATAAAACTAGGCTTTAGCTTAAATGGTAAGGTAGCCCAGCTAAAATCAGGTTTCTAAGAGAGTTTGGGTCTATGGGCGGGAGGATTTACTTAGGATAATATCCAAGGAAGAGCCCATGCAGATTCTGCTACAGACTGACCAGGAATTGTGAGCTTCTCCAGCTGTTTTTTTCACTACCAGAGTGAGGCCCAAAGCTAAAACCCACCCCCCACTTCCTAATGCAGTTACTGGAATGAAATCTGGCTACCTTGCATATAGAAAAGCTCAAAATGCAGTCACTCTAATCTTGATTTTCTGAGATTAGTTATACTTTGCTAGAAGGCAAATATGATCTTCTTTCATGCAAGGCTAAGTACAATAAAGCAGCATATGAAAAGAATGGGGGCAAGATATTAACATAATAGTCTTATAGCCATTTTTCTTTCTTTCTTGGCAGCCATGAGTTTTTCAGGGAGCCAGGGCCTGCTGTGCAGGTGGTGTAAGTTCTAGACAAGCTCTGAGTAACTCTTCTATCAATTTTACAATTTTTTGAATCAATTCCATATTGATGGACCCAGAATGTTGTAAACACTGCAAAGTTTAACCTAAATTCTACTAAATTGCAAGTAATGGCTTTTGGCTTCATGATTTAAAAAATGTTAAGACACTTGAAGTGCCATCCCTCATGAAGCAGCATAATCATACTGCTGCATAGACATCATGAACAAAACCTCCTACATCACTTTAAAGAAAATTAATTTATAGTGTTCATGCTGGCATTAAAAATAGCATTAGGATGTATTTTCAGTGTCTGGTACTGGTTCAGTATTACTATTCACCTAATGGCATTAGTGTCTCCCTGTTGGTCTGCCATTTTGATGCAGCTTTTGTCTCACGGTAGAAATCTGTGCATCATGAAGATGGGGTAAAAACACTTAGGTCCTACTGGAAACCACAAGGGGAGAAAGAGACATTCCTCAAGTTGTCAAAACGCTCTTCAGGTGAAATCTATCATTTGGATATTTTAATGAATACACATCTAGTTTAAATACCTCACAGACCAACCAAAATATATAGTGCTCATGGGAGCAATTTAAATCAGTCTGTAAAACAACTGAATTTTTAAACTGTAGGAAAAGCCTGTCATTTTCTTGCTTGCACGCTTAGTGTATTGGTCCATTTGATATGCTACTAAGCAGTTTTTAATAACATAAAGTTTGCTGTTTCAGAATAATATTTTGGAGTCCTAAGGCCAAAGACCATAAGCTTCATTCAAATCTCTTCAGGTTACTTTAAGATGTTTATACCTCCATCTTTCAACGGACCACCAAAAAGGTGCTCAGCACAAGGGCTAGGGACAGACATTCAAAAAGCCAGAGCCTGAACTGATTCAACCTTTGCACGTTAATCTAACCTGACTAGGCTGAATCAGTTTGTAACAGGACAAACATGCTCTCTGCACTGAGGCAATGCAGGTACATGCCTGCAGTTGCTCAGGCCAGGAGCCGGGGGACTCTAGAGCGGCCCTCAGCAGCAGGAAAGCTGGGTGGGTGGAGGTAACATGGCCAACCCAGGCTGAACTGGCCAGAGAGGGTTTTAATCCCCCCCACCCTGCCACCAGCACAGACCAGAGCCAGGTCTGTGCAGCACCACTCCCTGCCCAGAATAGGCCCCCGGCTGCCCCCTCTACCGGAGGAATAAACCCATCCCTGCCTGCCCTTGCCTCCTCCGTACTGCTACATTGGGAGGTGGCAGGGCCCATAATGGGGGCAGCAGCCCCTGTCATAATGCAGAGGAGCGTGAGCCCCTTCCCAGTGAAGGACTGTGCTGTGGGGCTGGCAGAGCTGCAGCCGCCTGTGCACAGCAGTGCCAGGGTCCTGACTGGGCCAGAGCCCTGCAAGCCCCTGCAGTGCTCCACAGCACAACCCCCCTGGAAGGGAGTTGTGCTCCAAGAAGCCACGACATGGTTATTAGGTGGTCACTGTTCCAGGTGCTGGGCAGGGCCACACCCAGGCCCCGGCTGCTGTTCTGTGCTTGGGGCAAGCCCCCTCCTGGCAGAAGGGGGCTTATTCAGCCGCTGGCACCAGAGCAAGGTTTGCCTAGCTGGGCTGCAGCCACTGCTGCTCTATGCTGGGGCCACAAAAGTGTGGCCGGCTGCGCGCAGCAGTGTCAGGGTCCCCAGTGGCTGAGTTAGCCCCCCCCAGCCGGAAGGGAGCTGGCCCTGAGCACTGAGCGGCAGCAGCTGCAGTCTGGCTGGGCAAACTCTGCTGCCATGTGAGTGGCCAATGATTAAATAAGCCCCCTCCGGCTGGGAGGGGCTTGCCCCAAGCTGGGAGACACTGCTTGCACAACAGCAGGGTTTGTTGGGCTGGGCTGTAGCCACTGCTACTCTGTGCTCAGGGCCAGCTCCCTCCCGGCCAGAAGAGCCTCATTCAGCCACTGGCCCACTCGGGACCCCGGCACTGCCAAGAGCAGCCGGCCACACCTCTGCCAGCCCCGCAACACAGCCCCTCACCAGAAAGGGGCTCGCGCTCCTCTGCAGTATGACAGGGGCTGCTGCCTTCAATAAGGGCCCTGCCACCTCCCGCTGCAGCAGCAGGGTGGAGGCACAACCAGGCAGAGACAGGGTTATTCCTCCTCCCCCTGCTTTCCGGCAGAGGGTATAGCTGGGGGCCTATTCTGGGCAGGGACTGAGGGGGAGAATGCCAGGCAGACCCAGCTCTGGTCCCTGCTGGTGGCACAGGGAGGGGGGAATTAAAACCCACTCTGGGCAGACCTTTGCCCCTGCCTGACCTTGCTTGGGCTGGGGAGCTGAGGGGCATGGCCAGCTTGGCTGGGCTGGAGCAGAGAGCCTTGCCCAGCCCTGAGAGCAGGCAGGGATGCTGGGGGTCTCTGATTTAACTCAAATCAGCAAGGGGTCTAGGACAGACAAGGCATAAACTGGTTTCAGCCAAATCAGTTAAGTATCATATTACATTCAACCAGGTTTATCTTGAACTAGTTTCAGCCATTTTGAAATTGGTTTATATGCACTAAACATCTGTTCTGTTACAGGTTTAAACCAGTTTCTGATCACTTAAACCAGTTTATGTGTAAGGCTGTCCCTGGCCAAGAAGTCCCATCTGCTGAAATTAGATCCAAAACAGACAGACACAGTCTGTCATCTTTGTATCACAATTAAAGTACTAATTGTGGAGTATTGTTTGTTCAAATATTAAGAATCCTCAGATATGTTAGAAAACCATGTAACAATAACAGGTTTCTTACAATAGTAAAGATGCAAACAAAATTAAACCACTTTTTATGCACTGAAGGCTAAAGCGGCACTCAGAACTGCCATTTTAGAAGACATTAACCTCTTTGTGAATTCATAAAGGAGGAGGAAAAAAGAAATGTTCCACATACAACTACGTTCCAAAGTGTCAAGATAGTCTGGTATTCTTAATGTAAGACCATTTTAAAATTTGGATTTTTTTATTATGAAATGAAAGAGACATTTAGTAATGGTGTTGCACATATGGTTTACAAAATTTCAGAAAAATAACAGGTTTGTTTAACAGCTCAAAATCCCTTGTAATCTCTGAATGAGGGCTTGTCAACCTGGGAAACTAAGGTACACTATGATATGAATTCAGAGTGCTTAAAATACTACACACTGACCCTCCTTGCAAATGCCATAACAGTGTTACGTCCGCATGACACAATGCAGTGCCATGCAGAAACAGCCCGAGGTAGACATCAGCATTCTTGGACCACGCAGACTGCAGTACATGGCTAAGACTGTACAGCATGACAATACCCACAATAGCACTGCTCATACTAATTTTGGAACTGCAAGCAGTACTGCCACAGTAAAGCACTGACTCAGGCAAACATTTTTGCTTCTCAGCTTGGCTGATTAAAAACACTACACTAAAGCAGGGATTGTGCTTCTGGTTCTGGAATTAGCACAGGAAGAGCTAGTCAAGTAGCTCTGCAAAGAGCTGCCTTGCACCATCTATAGACGTACCCTTAAAGTACCTTAAGACTGCCTTTGTGTGAAGCAGTGTGCAGTGTGAGCCTCCACTTAGAAGTTAATGTGGAACCAAAACTGCTCCTCGCTTTTTTTGTAGTAAATTCCCCCATGTAGAAAAGGTTAAAGGTTAAAGATTAACATTACAGCAATGAACCGCTTTGCTGTTTATGCTGGTGAGCCCAAGACCACAGAATCTGTTTTAAGGGTTAATAAGTACCTTTTTTTAGAATAAATGAATGCTAAGCCCCAATCAAGTTTCCCAGAACTACACTTTACAACAAAACTTGCAAATAGAGGTCAGTGGTTAAATAATAATAATAATAATAGTAATAATAATAATAATAATAATAGTGCTTTTAGCAAACACCACAGAAACCACTATTTCTTGTGTAGTCCAATCCAAATAAAATTTAAAAAGAGGAAGAGACAATTAGTGTATTAATTAATATATTTCCTATGCATTTACATAATACTGTGATAAAATGACAAATGAGTCAATCCACATTATGATGCAAAAGAATAGAACTGTTGAAGGTACCAGTACCTTTCACATTATCACATCTATGGAACTGGGCTCCTACATCATTAACGCTCCATGCCATGACAAGCTTTTTCTGGTGAGGAGACAACACAACACAGTTGCAGACAAGTAATTCCTCAGAAACTTGAGCACTGCAAACCATATAAGCTCCAAGTCAGCAATTTACTGGAGCAGTGCCCAACTTCAAAGCATATAAGCAGCATGGACTTAAAATGGAACAACTTACCTATGCAGGCACATGCTAATGTACCTTACTGAATAGGGGCCCTATATTCTGAGAGGCCCAATGACAATGCAACGGTCAATGACAGTGGTAACATTCAAGAGAAGTTTTTATATATATATATATATAAAATGTATCAGTTAGGGGATGATATGATTTGTGAAAAAAAATGAATCAGGCTAGTAGGCCATCACCAATAAGAAAAAAAGGATCCTTTTTTAAGTTCAAGTACAGTAAGATGTAGTATTTTCATTACATGATACATAAAATCAATACATGGCAATATATTTTAGATGAACAGAAAAAACCCTGTATTAATTTGCATACCTGATGCACTTTTTAGCCAATTGAGTTGCCATAGTGGCAAGCTACCACCAACTAAAGAGCGAGATTTTTTCAGTCTTTCACCAGTATACACACAAGAATTGCAAGCAGCTAATAATCAGGGAACCTGGTTTTCTCCCATTTAAAAAAATCCCCAATTTTTGGTTAAAAAAAAGTAACCCCAAATCCATATTTTTCCATCATTAAAATGAAACATCACTCTATATGTTAGTGGTGTTTCATTTAATCACTGAAAAAAGTGGATTTGGGGTTAGTTTTTAACCAAAAATTGGGGATTTTTTTAAATCAGAGAAAACCAGGATCCCTGCTAATAATCACTTATATTCATTCTAGTAATTTAATAACTGTATAACCATGTAGCAATTATTTTAAATCAGTAGGATAAGGCTATCATTTGGAATACTGGCAAAAATAGATATTAAAATATGTCTAAACAAGAATTAAAAACTTTAGCATTTATTAGCAAACTATAATAAAATTTGGATCTGCCCCCACATAAAATCTACAGATAAAGGGGGAATTACTTGACATTCCTCCGTGTGTTAATTCAGTTCATAAAGCAGATGTGTTCAAGTATTTAAAAAGAAAAATAAACACAAAGAAAAAAGAAACAGAATGAAAAAATCTCAGCTTCTTCTGGCTTACATCACTTGAGTTTCAAGTACTTCTTATAGAAAAGTCATTTTATGAGCGAGTACTATTTACATTACATTATTCTACAACCATGAAAGACAAGAGAATAAAAAGGAAAGGTGGGTATGAAAAATAAGTGCAACCAGACCAAATCACATGCAAGTCTGTATCAGCATTGAGAATGCTACAAAATTAGACTGACTGCTTAGATTTATATTTTTTGCAAGTTTAGAAACCAGCATCTGTAGGTTACATTTCCATCTGAAACTTTCCACCCCATATATAAACCAGAGCAAAAAGTTCAATCTTCTGGGTGTTCAGTTCCCTCTTCTTGTCTCCAAAAAGAGTACAACACTGATGATTTGGACTACAAAACTATATACAGAATATTTCTGAACACAGCTCCCTTAATTTCAGGCAACAAAATGTGCTTATTTACAGAAGTAAGAATATTTTTATCCATTACAAGTCTCCCATAGAAAAGTGAGCGTACAAATATCAGAAGTGCTGATCCTGAGATGAAGCATGGGAAAGTTAGATCCAGTGCGATTCTTATTCAAACTTTTGTTTAAGTTTCTTCTGGAAGATAGCTGGCAGAATTGAGAGAATAGCTAAAATCATGAGAACAAACACAGAGTTCCAGGAAACAGCTTCCCCTGCTGTTGTAAGTTGGTATAATGTTGTTCCTGCTTTAATTGCTACAAAAGATGGTGGTGCAACACCTACACATACAGAAACATAACAGAGAACCAGTTAAACAGACTATTAAAAAGTTCATAATTTTCTTTGAGACAAGCAAATGCTCTTTGTCTTAGTTTTTGACACTGGTAAATTCTAACAAAAATACTATTCATAATAAACCACTGCTCCCCAGCACCCAAACTTCATAGTTTTATCTGAACAGGCAGAGTCTGAGTATGTCTTCTTCCCTTCGTGTGTGTTATTTTGAGTTTTTAGCTGACATACAAAAAGTCCCCTCCCCCAAACAATAAGCATCATAGACTAGATCAAAATGAAGTGAGCTTACTGCAGCCATTTTTTCCTACTGACTGATAAGCATGGCTTTGTTAGTTCTTTTAATTTAATCATGAAACCAAATAATGCAGACTATTTGCAAACAAACAAACAAACAAAATCAACTACCTAGAAAGAACATAGACTAGGTTTCAGTTTCAGATCTGGTGGCCCTACAAAGTCAGAGCAACTTTTGAAGGATTATCATTATCATTATATCAATATATGTTGGTGAAACAGAGGGACAAAGCTCAGCAAGCTACCCTCACACTTGAGGTTTAATTTTGGAACCTTGTAATTTATTACATGAGAGTAAAACTCTAAATTTGCACTACTGGACCCTTAGCAAATACTTCTTTCTGACTTATGCTTGTAAATTACTAGGACAGAGTAAATCATAGAGGCTCAAAGATAATATATTTTACTTCCCAGTACATGTAATAAAAAGAGAAAAGTGAGCATACAAATATCAGAAGTGCTGATCCTAAGACGTGCTTTTGCTCCTACATTTTCCCAGTGGGCAAGGAACACCCCATAAGTTTTCTGCATTGAGACAAATGCAAGAAAAAGTACGAGTTCACTCTCCCCACAGCTGCCTAGAATACCATTAAATTCAGAGAACTTTGGAGGAGTGCCTTGAGTCTTAAAAGAAAAGACTGAGAACCACTGGCATACAGGAAAGAAGTCATGTAATCTCTCAACTGTCCAGCAGATAGCAAATTAAAGCGAGTATGTGAAATCCAACCAATAGTCCCCTCCCCTTAAAAAAAATTTAACTTATTAACAAAAATTCTTACCTAGAAAAGTACCAATGAAAAATACTTTCAATGGTACATTTATTACAGGAGATGTTATATTGATAAACCAATTAGGAAGGAAAGGCGTTATTCTCAAAAATATTATATAGTTTATGAGGTGTTCTCTATGTCGTTCAACCTGCCACAAAAAAACAAAAACAAAAATGAATTCAACAAAATTCCTGCCTTGGAAATACATTACACATATACATTGATAAACATGTTTTATTCAATCATAATGAACCCTACTGAAAAAAAACCTGATAAAAGCAACAAAAGAGGACTAAACAAAAATATTCAACCAAACTCTGTGTCTGGAGCTAGTAAGTGAAGAGAGGTAGTAACAGCTTTTAAGATCTATTGCTGAAGCTAGTTTGGAAATTCAGATTATTTTGTAATGAAATCAAATGTCTCATCATTATATTATGCTTGCTTGGTGACACAAGTAATTCTTTAAAAAGGAAAAATGACTGTTTAGTACAGCAACAACTTTTGACTTCTATATATCTCCATAAGGTTATATAAACAGATTATATAAAAGTTTAGTAGATCCAAACACTTACTCCTATATTTTCAAATCCTTACTACTCAAGACATTCTTCTATAACAGGGGTGGCCAACCTGAGGCACACATGCCACAAGTGCCACAAGCAGCTTCTGTGTGGCATAAAGCAGAGCAGCGGATCAGGCACGAAAAGGGGACTGGAGTGGTGCTAGGACAGGGTACAGGGTTTATTTGTCTGCCAAAAAGGCCTCCCCACCCCTCTAATTCAATGTATTTACACAGCATGCATAGACATTGTGGCTGTGTAAAGAATATAGCTGAGGGAAGACTAGAGTTTACTTTTACCAATGAATGCATTAAAAACGTGGCCTTGTTTACACAAGGGTATTTGGTAGTTTTTAAAAATACATACCTTTTTTTACCCTAGTGAAGCTCTAAATTACACCACTGTTTGGTCTCATCCAAATGTCTAGAACCAAAATGTATAAGAACATGGACATACAATATACTATGGAGATAAAGGTGCGTGGGCCTTTACCATGCACCATCTGTTAACCACCTTATGTGCAAACTTTTACTGTGCAGTAAGTGGAAGCTAACCCACAATAGCTTAGTGGGCAACAGCAGATACTTAGGTCATCATTACCAAAGAAAAGATACCATGAGAAAAACCACAACCCCTCATGGCGGCTAGATTAAGGGGTCGCGAGCTTCCATCCGAACTCCGTGAAGATCTAGAGACGGAAAGACGCGCCGCAAATGAGAGGGTGGCCTTGCGGTACGACAAGGGGGGAGAACCGAGTGCAACTTTTCATACGATTACTAATCTAATGTGCAAGAATTTAAGTTTAAAAGCCCAGCTGCAGATGGCTGTTCAGGCGGTCAAAGAAGCGGCTGAGAAAAAGGAGCCTGAAACCCCGGTCCAAGATGGTGCCGAGCAAAAGGGAGACCGCGTGGAAGAACCGGAAAAGAAGGGTGGAGCTTCTAAAGAACCCGCGAGAGTTCGGTCAGCGACTCCGCCCATCGACGCAGTGTCGTCGCCGGCAACCCCGCCTAGCGACGCAGCGACGTCTCTGCCGACCACGCCTTCCTGCCGACGAAGGAGAGAGTCAAGCGGAGGAGTGCATCCGC